GTTGTGGTGTGTGTCTGATGTGTGTGTGTTTGAGTGTTGTTGGACGTCAGTGTGGTGTGTTGGGTGTGTGTGTGTTCCCTGGGTTAAGTATTTAGAATCATAAATCTGAAGTATTGGTTTTACTTTAAATAAAGCTGATTTATTGTTTTTCTTCTAAATCTGTCTGTTGTTAGTTTTGATTGTTTTTTGAGGTTTGAGTGAGGAGGAGGGGCCGCCCGGGTGTGTGCGGGGAAGTCTGTGTCTTGGCAAACCGGCAGACCCCCCCCCCCCCCCATGGCAGAATCCAGAGTACGTTCTCGAACCTCCCATCGGTCTGGACTGGTCCGCCGCCCATTCCCTTGTCCGCACCTCTGCTCCAATCACAGCCTCCTGAATCTGTGGAAATCCTGCGGCATTGATGTCACTTCAGGACATCGGTGACATCATTGTGTAGCCCTCCTCCACTTATTGGCTCAGAGCCCCTCAGCTGTGTTGGTTTTTCTGTCTGTTGTTGTTGTTTTTGTTGTATCAGTGAACCAATCTCAGTGCTATTACCTTGCAGACCAACATGATGGCAAATAAGACTGTCAATTATAGAATGAAAACACTTACTCACTTCCTGCTTTACTGTTTCCGTCCGCAAAAGGCCTGAACGCTAATGGTGGCTGAGAGAGCTCAAAGCACTGAACAAATCCATACACCAATAATATAAGGACTTGCAAATGCAGGAAAGTAGTAACAAACAGTAACAATACAAACAATAGAAAAAAAAAAACCAAATAAAACAAAACAGGGGGGGGTTTTTTTCCCTACGCCGTCGGGGAAAACTTGACCTGGAATACATGTTTTTTTGAAGTCTGTAGTTAGGAGATTTAAAACTGTAACTTCATAAGCAGAAAGAGTCCCCACTATACACAGAGTCGCTTTAAATGTCCCCTGTTTCTGAGCAATTACGCTGTCCTGTGTTGTCATGAAAAACAGTGTATTCAGGGCTAGGCGCTAGCTGGTATCACAGGAGAACTGCCCTACGATTTAAGTAAAAAAATTAAATCGCGCTGAATACCATGCAAAGATCGCATAGTGCTACCTCATTTAATAAGGTGAGCAGTCGGAGGTTTACAAAGTTGGAATCATTTTCTTGAGTGCGTTAAAATAAGAATGAATTAGATTGAGTTGACACCAACTTATTTATTCATAGACTGCGAGCTTTTAATATCATATCTCTTAACAATAATCGGAATTAGTACAGAATAAAACATGATAATTATGAAATAATTTGATGGTCACTGATGTTAAAATAAGTAAAGTTTTTGCTGAATGTAGTATTTTAATGCAGTCTAATAAAATAATATGCATCATCATTTACAGATAGAAACTAGCACACACACACACGGACACACTCAGACGGTTGCATGAGGGCGAAGGCGCTCCCTTTAGCAGCATCCAAAAGAACCCAATATTAATGACACTTAGAGCTTTAATATAATTATATTAATAATAGCGATGATGACGTGATGACATCACAAAGCAAAGGTCGAACGTGTAGGCGGGGTTAAAATATTCAGGACAAGAAGAAAATGAATAAACAAAGAAAAAGAAAACAGCCAATCAGAACCAAACTGGACAATTAAAAAATTGTTTTTAAAAATAAAATAAAAAAAACAACAAACAAAAAAGGAAACATCGTTTCCCATCAAGCCCGGCGGTGGCAGCAGGTTATCGAGATTGTCCCGTGATTGGTCGATTCCAGAGGCAGCAGAGCAAAACGAGGCGGAGTTTAAATCCTGCTGATGTCATGCTCCTCTGGCCAATCACAATCAATTCTTGTGGTTTTTTTCGTCATCATCATCGTGGCGACTCCCTCCCGCCTAGCGGCCGGAGGGAGCGCTCCCATTGGCTGGTTCCGACCTTCAGTGAAAAGGTCTCAAAGTCACGGAGCGCAAAGATGCTCCACTCGTCATCTCCCACAATGCCTTGCTCTGTGTGGGCGGGGAGACGTTTAGGCAGTGCCGCCAACTCCCAGCTCCTCCCGACAGTAAACGCGGCGTCATTCAGGGTGCGTTCAGTTCGACGTGGGAAGTTGGAAATCTGTGGTTGTTATTAGAACTTCCTACATTTCAGAGGTTCAGTGAACACAACAGCGTAACAAACAGAAAGAAAGAATATTACTCAGCAACTAGTTTCCTTATCTATGAATCAGACATTGATCATACAACACTGATGTTAAAGCTCTGTTGAAGCCCGAAGGAGCTGCGAACATTACAACAAATATCTCATTATATTGAAAAGTGACATTAAATGCAACATCAGATGGGGAAAAAGCCACTATTTCCAACTTCCTGGCGTCTCATGAAGGCAGCAGTCCCTTCTCATCACAACTGAATGATAACTAAACATCGTCAGATCCTTTCACACGTCGTAGTGTTCGAACACAAAGCTTATTGTATCTCAGATTTCTTCAAGTGTCTCCCTCTTCCTTCTTACCCCCCTTCTCAGTCTCTCACTACATTTCCCAGAGTTCCTCGCTTGCACGGCCCTACATACGCCACAATCCATCATCTTTTCCTACGTCTCCCATGTCAGTTTTAAATAAGTCAGTATTCCTACATCTCCCATGAGGCATCACACGTCGGGTGTCACTTACTACGTTTTCCCACGATTGCCAGAGACAGTGAAGGTTTCATGCGTCGCTTAAAATAGATTCATCTTCATAAAAACATCAAGACAAAATAAAGTCACTTCAAATATACACACACAACGCTTTAAAAAGAGTCAACAACAACAACCTCCTCTTCCTCCTCTCACCTTCCTCTCCTCACACCGTCCGTCCGTCTGTCTGTACAGCAGTGTGTCTGTCAGCTCTCTGCTCTCCTGCAGGAGGCGCCACAGAGCAGCTTTCTTTGGTTTGTAGCACTCAGCGATGCAGCATTCAAGTCACATGGGAGAGACGGTAACTACGAGCTTCAGGCACTTACGTTACAGGTGAGAAGGTTCAATAGACCTGTCCTAAGCCCCGCCCCCTTCTGCTCTGTGCTCCAATAACATTTGAGCAAGAAACTTCCTCCTTTCCTGTACTTAGATATGCTATATGCTAAGCTAATCTGTGTTGAAATGATATTATGAAGATGGTTAGAAGATAAAAGCGACATATATAACACAATATGGAGTCACTCCATATTAAATACTGATTCATCAGTGTTTCTCTTTTGTTGGGACGTGTTTGAGGTCAGTTCACGTTCATTTAGACGCTTTAACATCCAGGACAGATTCTTAGTATCTAAATTTAATTACTGTTTTAATATCCCGATAAAATCTTTTATTTTTCAAGAGAACTTTTCATTTTTTACAGACAATAGCTGCAGCGACAAGCATACACAAACCAAAGCCAGCTGATATAAAGAAACAACTGTCCTACTGTATGTGACATTCTGTCATGTTTAAAGATAATATGACGTGAAATTTAAAACTAAACATTAGCTAAAGCCACAAAAAAAAAAAATCACTTTGAATTCTTCTATTTTTCTTTTATTTTGGAGGGACACCACTGCGAGCATAAGAAAAAGAACCATTCTAAATGTTTTTTTTACATTGTACAATGTTTTCTTATGTAAAGGATATTTGCCGAATTGAACAGTGGAAGCCAACGAAGTGTCTCGTAAATCATTTTATCACTTTGGTTAATTTCAAGAAAAGCAAAGCAACATTAAAACACTGAATTATTGAATGTTGTTTGGCATGAGACTCTCCTCCTACGGACGAGAGCGGCACATATCGGGGAAAGAGGAGCCGTAATACACTTTCTTTCTTCTTTCTTGTCGCGAAGGCAAATATACTGCAGAAAATAGTCTTTTTGGTAAGAAACAACGTAATAGCTGGTCTGATGTTTGATTTTGTGACAGTAAACTATTGTTTGTAATAAGTAGAATGATGTTTCTGTGTTTGTCCACCAGAGGGCGCTGACGTTTATGCTCCGAATGCATCTTTATGTACAGAAACTGCTTTAATGAAAGTAATGATGTGTGTGAAACCTGAGTTCTCACTGAAGTCGTACAAACTGTGAGTCCCATACAACATGAATGCTGCTCCGGCTACGCTAGGCTGTGCTATGCTAGGCTAATACTTTCACCTGTGCAAACCTCGGGCCGGGCTAAAGTGTGGCTCTTCACCACACAGCACATAGCCCCTCGTTGCTCCCTGCTCGGGATAACCCGGGCCATCCCGAGCTAACACAGACCTCTCCGGGCTGAACCAGGCTAGTTAGCCTCCTGGGCTAACAGCGGCTAAACCAGAGGAGCCAAACCTCGAGTCCGTCCCGTCCAACGTACTTCATCTTTAGGTAAAACAACAGGAGACGTCTGCTACCAGTAACTCGCCCCAGGAGCCAAACACTGTCAGCTTTAAAAGGCACCGATCACAACCAGAATCAATCAATATCAGCGATCAATAACATCAATCAAACTAAATAGTAACGTGATAAACTTCAATCCTGTCTGACAGCCTGACGAACTGCAAGAAAACAAAGAGATCCGCTTTTTCCTTAAAAACAGTGTCGCTATGGCAACAGCTAACCCATGCTAACGTAAAAGGCTAGGAGCAAGCTACACACACACACACACAGCCTATTCTCTACAGCATCAGGACCGCGCGGTGTCCTGCAGCCAATCAGAGGCCACCCTGGTGTCAGAGGTCAGAGGTCAGATGGGGGTCTCCTTATTGTTGTTTTTGAGGTCCGGTGCGCTGAACTGCCGTCTCATCCTGGGCGGCGTGGTGAAGCCCCACCCACCCGGCGGCGGCCCCACCCCCAGCAGCATGTCGGCAGGAGGGGGCGGGACCCCGGAGCGCGGCAGGCTGTGGTAGTTGGGGTGAGGTCCTGGCTGGAATGGTGCATTGTGGGGGTTGTAGTAGGGATGGTGGTGGTACTGATGGTGCTGGTGTTGATTATAGTGGAAGCCTCCATCTCTGTCCCTCCCCCCTCCTCCTCCTCTCTCTTCCTGGCGGGCGACACCACCCTCCTCTGTTCGGTCGCCCTGGTGACCGCCAACCGCGCTACCGGCCACGTGATGCTGGTCCGCCTGTCATCCAGTTAACTTGTTGCCCGTGGGGCGGAGCTGTCCAGAGCAGTTGCGGCGGTAGCGGCGCTGCTGGTTTTGGTTGTTGCCAAAAAATGGTGGTGGGTAGTAGAAGCGCCGCCCTGGTTACCCTGGCTTGCCTTGGTTACGCTGTGCCCGGCCGCGATGAGGGCTGCGGGGTGCGCATGCGAGGCGGAGGCGGAAGGGGCAGGCGCAGGAGAGCGGCAGACTGACCCTGAGGAGGAGGTGAGGGAGAACTTTACCCTCCAGCTACTCCTCCTCCTCCTCCCCTCCTCCCTCGGTCTCGTCTGCTCCGCCCCTCGCCCCCAGACCCAGAGCCTGCAGGGCGGCGCTGGCTGGCCCATGACAACCGGCTGGGCGGGCGGGTTGACTCTTGAAGGGAACTTGAGCTTTGCACACTCCTGGGAGGGATGAAGCGGCGGTCGGGGAGGATAAACGGGGACAACGGGGGAGTTCATTGGCTGCAGGAGGGGGGGAGCACACATCAGTCAGGCGCTGAACGACATTCCCTGTCCTCAGGGTCAAGAGGTTGAGCCTGTTAAGACTCACCCTGGTTCTGGTTCTGTTCTGTCCTCGCAGTTTTCTTGGTGACTGTTCTGCTGCTGCAGGGTTGCAGATCGCGTGCGTTCCTGTTGTTTCAGCCCAGCGGAGGCGTCCTAGGCCGTCTGAACGCCGGGTCCTCGTCCATCCCGCTTCCAACTCTGACCTCCGGCCTGGCGGGGGGTGTCCGCCGGCCGCCCGTCTCTGAGGCTCGCCGCCT